CACTGTCTTGCTGAAACATAGCCCGTCATCTATTGAGCAAAGCAGGATACTCCTTCTTTTGCTTGTCGTGCACGCGGTCGAGCAGCTGTCAATACAGGTTAGTATTGATGGCGATACCGTGTGGAACAAGCTCGAAATGCAGTCCTCCTTGGAAATTCTACCAGACAGAGATCAGGATGTGTTTTTCCTTTCTGCTTCCTAAGTGAGTCAGGAATTTCTGGCCAACCTAATAACGGGATTCTTGTTCATTTAGGCGTTTCTTATTCAAGTGATTATATTATACGTGTACTCGAACTACGGATATACATTTAAAGTATTTTCGGGATTATGTCTTGTTCTATGTTTTTCGTCCTTGGTATGACGATGAACTACATAGTAAGGTCGTCGATTGAGAGACTGAAGGTTTTGAGGGACGTGAAACTACCTCTTAATTGCTGTTTTTCCCAAGTACCATAACTTGGAGTGGTAGCACCTGTTAGGGTTCCAGCTTTGGGCAAATAGTCAATCCCGAAACAAAAACAAAACACTATGAAAGGATAAAAATACATTTTTATAGTAAAAGTACCAGCAATACATTTTTTTATTTGAAAAGATGACTAACAAAACATTTAAATGACATGTAATACAATTTAATTGTAGTTGGATGCATAAAATTGCATTCAAAATATATTTAGTTGAAACCATAAAATTGGCAGATTAAATATAAGAGCGACAGAGGAAAAGAACACATTATCTTATCAGGAGAGCTTGAGTTAATGGATGGCAGAGCAGGGTTTGAGAGAGATGGTAAAAAGACAAAGAGCTACAAAGGACAGGAGATTGTGGAGAGTCATGATCGCCAACGTTCTGACACGGCACACAGAAGAAGAACATTTTTGAGGAACTTAGTCACGGCCTGTTCTTTTTATCTGTGTACCATTTCTTCAGACTTTAATCCCATGGAAACATGTTTGGGTTTGATAACGATACTCAATGTTCCCTCTCTAAAAGATGAAAGAATCTTTTATGAACTCTTTATGACGTGCACGATCATGGCTCTCTACAGCTTCCTGTCTTTGTCCCGATATCTTTCACGTAAATTCGGGTGGTGTAATGGATAACAGCTCGGAATTGGAGATCGAAGAGTCGAGTTCCAATTCCGGTTGGGTTCGTTAGATTCATTTACACGCAAATACAATTGGGAAAAGTATAGATGCACCACGTCTTCCCTCCAGCTATGGGTTAATTAGTGAGACTTACCTAAAAGTCATTATTGCACCCAAAACGTTCTTACAAACCAGAAATAGTTTCTGGCTTTAAATAACCTTCGAAAGGTTGATAAAGGTTGATAAGGTTTTACAGTCACTGGTCAAGCGAAGGACGAAATCACCACCCGTATAAATTTGGCTAGAGCTGCCTTTGTCCGTCTTCAAAAACGACTTTGGTCTCCCCAGGAGATAAGACGATCCACGAAGTTGCGAATCTACGAAGCCATGGTCAGAACAATTCTTCTCTATGGTTGTGAGACCTGGCCACTGCGCAGAGAGGATCTTCATAAGCTTGAGGTCTTCGATCACTACTGCCTCCGCCGTATTCTGCGCGTGCGCCGCTCCGACCGGATCCCCAACTTGTCCATCCGCGCCAGATGCAATATTCTGGGCCTGGAAGAAACTCTGCTTAACAGGAGACTCTGGTGGTTCGGCCACGTGCTGCGGCGGCCTGGTGATGAGTTCGTCCGTAAACTGGTGGCGCCAAACGCACCCACTGGTTGGAGGAAACGCTGAAGTGGTCATCTCAAGACGTGGCTCGCAACGATCAAAGCAGATATGGAACTCATGTCCGGTCCTCGCGTTTTCGGGGTCCGTCGCTGGAATCGCGAATGGCTCGATCATGCCGTCGATTCTGCCGCCGATCGACGTGGGTGGATGGCCTTGACGTGCGATGCGGTTAATTCAGTTGAAGCCGGCTCAAACCACCCCGGGTGAATGCCGTTACAAGACAAGAAGAGAAGAAAGGTTGATAAGCTGTAAATTAATCAATAATATTTTCTTTAAGACATCCCCATTGCTTATATTCACGGTAAAACACCATTTTTGTTGCTTCAAGTCACGTCTTCATCATTATCTAGCATTTAATGCCATACAGGAGCTTCGGTAATACACAGAAGTTCAAAACGCCTTTTTTTATTTTCTTTTATTCTAAGTACATTTTCCTATCTCTTAATGCTTAGGTTCCGAAAGACATCTTCCGCTCTTCCGATGCGCCTTCGCATTTCCGCGTCGTATTTTCCGTCGTTTGATATTACACTAAGCAGAGAGTTCAATGTCTATACCTGATTGATTTTGACGTCTCCACTATGTAGCACGCATCTTCAGCTCTCACTTTTTGCTGACATTCATGTATTCCCATCTTCTTACACTTAATAGATATTCCCTTCATCTTACTCTTCTTCACTAACCTGTCTAAGATCTTTCAGTTTCCATTATGGATCTGTCATCGTGATGCTATTCTGGATTATATA